GCTGGGTCGGTCGTGTCGCGTTACTTACTACACACACACACACACACACACACACACACACACACACACACACACGAGGAGGGAGCTCCGCTGCTGCTGAAGCCTGGCCTGGAGTGTCAGCTGCTGGATTGGGAGCCCGAACTTGTGCTTTGTTCAGAGTTACGAACAACCTCCATTCCCGTAACCCTGAGGTTCTACAGTACCAGCATTTCGAAAAGTGGCAACCCCAGGCACGACCTGGGGCAGCGGGGGAGGGGGCCCAAGAGGGCGCTAAGCCCCTGCCTGGGGGCTGCTGCAGAGCCTGTGAGTTCAGGGTGGGAACGGGCTGGAAATCACTTCCCTGCCCCTCCACTGCCGTGCTGATCTGAGGGGCAGAGAGGCTCCCCCGTGCTGCGTGGGGCGCCAGGCAGCTTTGGCACACACAGGGCTGGGCTACTGGGCAGCGCCCCATGCGGGAGGGTCTTGGGCTTTCCCATGGCGCCGGCCCAGCCAGAGGCAGCGGGGGAGGAAGGAGCCCCCGGCCAGGCTGCAGGTGTGCTAAGCGCTCCCCCCAGCGGCTGGGTCTCTGCACGGCACTGGGAGTGGGTCGTGCCGCCCTGGGGGGATATGGACAAGCAGCGGGGCTGGGGAGGGACAAAGGGCAAAGCAGCGAGAGGGAGAGCTGGGGGAGGGGGCAGCGAGGAGGGAAGCATGTAAAGGGCAAAAGAGGCAACATGTGGGGTGGTCATGTGACCCCCAACTTTTAAATTGTGTCCCCAACACACACTATCAACAGTTGCATGTCGCCTCTGGTCTCAACATCTACATTCAATAAGTGTCTGACTGCCCCATAATTTCCCGCAACCACGAAAATTTTAAAATGGATTAAAAATAAACATCGATATCACCCGTCACAATCATAAAAAAATCAAAATCAAATTCTGCCAAGCCTAATGTTAAGCATGTGCCTGAGAGCTTTGCTGGACAGGGGCCTTAGTGCTGAAGATCCCAAGTTCAAAACCCGCTGCTGACCAGTGTGTGTGCGGGGAGTAATTATAAAACAAAATAAAACTTTAAAACTGTGAAATATACAGAAGAAAAGGGCTTACCTGGCCTACGATGTACCACCTGTTTCTTGTCAAGCGGATTTAAGGTACCACTGCCATTCAGGAATGAAATGTCTGGGACAGGCTCAGACATTGAATATTCAGCAGCTGAAACAAAAATTTGTAAAGCAAATATTTAGCTATTTGTGCACAGATCAGTGCATTTGTGCAATTATCTGCATCTCTCTTTGCTACAGGAAGGGACTGATTCCTCCTTTTGTTGAGCCTGAAGGACCGTGCTTGGCAAATCCACTGTCTTTAAGGAGGTCTGCGATTGTCTTTGGATCAAAGACTCACTTGATGGGAACCACTAGCAGCTTTCAGCATAACAATTTAGTAACAAAATACCCCAAAGATCACCCTTTACCTCTGTCTCCTTCTGGCTCAACATTTCTGAAGTCAGTTAAATTATTCTGTCTGTCAGGAGGGACAACTTCTTGCTTCTGACAGCTGTAGAGAAAAAATATATATATAGATACATTCTGTTTGTTATTGTGTGACAGCTGGTTGAGAATTCAAATTTTGACAATAACGTGTGTGTGCCTGTGTGTGTGTGTGTGTGTGTGTGTGTGTGTGTGTATGTATAGTAGTGGTGGGTGGTGTG